ATATATACACACACACACACACATCAGAGAGCAATGTAGGTGTATGTAAGCAAGTATTTCCAAAAGTGGAAGAGGTGGGCAGGGCCAACTTGGGTGATTCACTAAATATAATAATATCTCAGAAAATAGAAAAGATAGGAGGTTCTTATTTTATATTCTAACTTGTCAAACTCGGTAATTTGAGTTTATAATTTGTAAGAAACAAAAGACTTTGTATTTTATTTTGACATCACAAACATGTAATTTGAACCAAAGTTGCACTCAACATACCACTCAAAAATTGATATTAAGGAATTTTTTTTAACATTTACTTTTAAATTAAGAAATTAACTAATGTATGATACTAAAATTTGAATTATAATCTATAATTTGATACCAAACTTATTGACATACATTCATAAAATTGTAGTTCAATAAAATTTTGAATGTTAGTCTACAAACGTGATGACATGCCATGCTCTTTCACCCCTGACCATAGGAAGAACCATTGAGATAGGGCTAAACAGACTTTCAGGCTCCAGTGTTTACTTTTGAGGCTTGTAACAAAGGTTTTCCACAGCATATTCAAGAGAATTTCCTTTTCAAATTTTTTCTTATATGATTTGTATCAAACTCATGAATAGCCAGTTTTAAAACAGCAGGAAACCACCATGGGAAATGTTCATCCCTGTTGTGCTTTTGTATGAAATAAAGAGGCTCTATACAAACAAACTGTTATTTGTCTTCTTCATATTCTCAAACTAGTAAGAAAAGATCAGAAAACTGTGGTTTACTTTAATTATTAGCTTCCAACAAAATCAGGAGGAAACTGCTTAATAAGGAGTTTTTCAGGAATCTCTGAAATAATGCTGTTAGGAACTGCATGATGCACAGCTGCAGCATAACCATCTTTATTAACCAGGAGCTGCATGATGCACAGCTGCAGCATAACCATCCAGCTCTGGTAATAAACATTATATACAGCTGTATCATAACCATCTTTATTACCAAGATCTGCATGAGGCAAAACTGTATCATAACCATTTTTATTACCAAGAGCTGCATGAGGCAAAACTGTACCATAACCATCTTTATTACCAAGAGCTGCATGAGGCAAAACTGTATCATAACCATCTTTATTACCCAGGAGCTGCATGATATACAGCTGTATCATAACCATCTTTATTACCAAGGAGCTGCATGATATACAGCTGTATCATAACCATCTTTATTACCAGGAGCTGCATGATGCACAGCTGTATCATAACCATCTTTATTACCAGGAGCTGCATGAGGCAAAACTGTATCATAACCAATTTTGCCACCACAGCTATACCACTAGTTATGTCTGAAGTGATTTTCTGCTGGGCATCTGCAGTTCAACTGCCACATGTTTTTCTTTCTGGCCTTGATTTTGAGAACCCTATGAAGTATTTTTTCACAGCTGCGCTGCACCTAACACTTACACTGATGTCAGAGTGTAAGTCTCTGAAATCTTTTTTGTTAACTGTGAGAAGAAAAATTTTAAAACAACATACAAAGAAATGTCAATATGATCTATCCATAGTTCAGGAAATAATCAAAATAAGAAACAAACTTACGTGTGTCTTCCCACTTCCTGTTTGACCATATGCAAAACAAGTAGCCATTCCTCCTTCAAAAACAGTTTGCACTAAGGGTTTAGCTGTAAATCTAAGTAAAAGACAAATACTGCTCCTTGAGTACAGTTAAAATATAAATAAACAAAAAATAAACACATCACTAAATGAGATCTAGATCAAAGTAGTATATACACAAAAATGTTTTTTTTTTAATTCATGTTTAGTCCAAACTGTAACAAATTTATTTCTTCAAAAATTTTGTACAGTTTTAGATGAGTGTTCTTTGTGGTCTGGATCTTTCAGAAATTTGGACATATTTTTAAAACTCATCTAGAAAGATCACCAATGTGATAACTCTTTCCTCGTAACTACAGCTATTATTTTACTGAAGTGTATATAAAAGAAAGATTAGTACATTCAGTGGTTGATAATAATTTTATTAATGTTATGTATTTATTGGTTAATTTGTTATCAAATGACTCAAAACACTTATGACATTATTTCATTACCAAACAATCCAATACCACTCACTATAAACTAGTCCATTATCAGACAATTTGTAAATATTAATGTGTTCACAGACACCCTTTGTTAGGCAGTAAAGACCATGTTACAATTGAATTAGGCTTAGAAATAATTGTTAAGAGGTAAGATAATACAAAGATTCTAATTACACATGCTTAGCTCGTTACATGAATATCATTAAAATTAACAAGAATGTGGAAAAGATGTAATTAGAAGAACTAAAATATGGATTTAGAAATGTAAACACAGGTAGATAATAAACATAAGTTTGCAAAATTATAGCCTAATAAAATAAAACAATAAAGGTTGAAGAGGGAGATTTAATGCAACACTAGATCCCCTTATGGTATACACAAAAGATTTCCTTTCAAATAATTATAAAAATCCCTCAACCCTTTCTCTAATTTCATTCCCTTAAACCTTTTCTTTAGATGCATTAACCTTACCTCTTAGTCCTGGTCAAATTTTACTCTTCAACCTTACCTACGGAAGTCTTTTCCTTCCTAAACTTAGTTCCCTGGATTATATTATTATTTTTAAAATTTTTTTTAAATATTATTTAATAATATTTAAGTAATAAGTTCAACAATGTTTTTATCAGTATTTCAGCCACTATGATCCAAATTGAACATGTGTAATTAGAATCTTTGTATTATTTTAATATTTAATGACTATTTCTAAGCCTAATTTAATTGTAATGTGGTCTTTTCTGCCTGACAAAAGGGGTCTGCTCGAAACATCACAGAAAATAAACTGGAAAACGTTTTCATTTAGATATGTCAGTTTATTCTTTATTATCATTTATCAAAGTTTTTCTTCTTACATTTGGAAGCACAACACTCATTCAAGAATCTTTATCAGACAAGTGGTCAAAATGTATTTGTAGACTAATTTCTTATCAGATAACTTACCAATACTTACTCGTGGACTTACTTATAGACCAGTTTGTTATCAGACAACTTGCCAACATTTACTTGTAGACTAATTCATTATCAGATAACTTACCAATACTTACTCGTGGACTTAGTTATAGACCAGTTTGTTATTAGACAACTTGCCAAAACTTACTTGTAGACTAATTCATTATCAGATAACTTACCAATACTTACTCGTGGACTTACTTATAGACCAGTTTGTTATCAGACAACTTGCCAACACTTACTTGTAGACTAATTCATTATCAGATGACTCATCAAAGGCATAGTCAAATCTAAAGACTTGATTTTCCAGATACTTGGTGAGATCAACTTTGAGCTTGGGTTCATGAACCACGGTAAGTTCTTTATTTGGTACAGTGACTACATCCACTTCTTTTCTTATGTTTTCTATTTCAAAATATTATTGGAAAATAATTTTTAGAAGATATATCTATTTTTATTAAAAAATTGTTACCTTTAAACCTAAAAACAGTTTAATCACACGTACAAATGTGAAGAAAAACAAAAAGTCCTTTATTTATAACAGAAGGCATCATTTCTCACTGCTTTACACACTTACAGTACAAATAACTAACTTATGGTGTCTAACATACACAAAGTATTATCCCAAAACAAAAAATATTTACATACTTTGTATTGCCTTAAGTCATATAGAATTTACACTAGGTAATAAAACTGACAACGAAAATAAACTAAAAACTAGGCTTTTGTTTTAAACAAACAGCATTTACTTTTCACAGAACTTTATGAGGTTTTCTATCTATCTACTCACCTATCTGTCTACTTCTTTGTTACTCTATTCATCTCTACTTTTATATGGAAGAAAACAGAACCAGAAGAACTTCAATATCTAATGTCTCTTCAAACAGACATAATGATAATTTAAAACCAGAAGAACTTCAACATCTAATGTCTCTTCAAACAGACATAATGATAATTTAAAACCAGAACAACTTCAACATCTAATGTCTCTTCAAACAGACATAATGATAATTTAAAACCAGAACAACTTCAACATCTAATGTCCCTTCAAACAGGAATAACGATAATTTTTTTAACCACATCTGTTGTTGTTTCTGATGACTCCCAAATGATAATTTTAATAGGTGTACCTGTACCCTCCCCTTAAATATAGGTGACATTTTAGAATATTATGTATATATATAATTTCTCTTTCTTTTTTAAACATAAGACAGTCAGTCTACTTCAGTATGTATTAACACAAGTTAATACTCCTTTAACACACCACCATAAGAATAAAAAACACTCCTTTACCTTTTTTGTTCAGGGGCCTTTTTCTGACTGCAACACAAATCTGTTGGACTTGAACGGGATCATTCATCATGATTGGTCTGTACTCAAGTTGGGACTGGTATTCTCTTTCAAAATAAACTTTAGTATCAATCCCAAACATATGCATGGATACACCGTAAAATATTCCTATTTCTATGATCAAACAATCTTTTATATCATTTGAGATATCAACCAGTATCTACAACTTTTTATGTTAATATTACCATAAGCCTTAATTATCCTAAAACACACACACACACTCATATATATATATATATATAGAGAGAGAGAGAGAGATTCAGACATCAACATCCAAGTTCTACTAAGGTTAATGGTAATTATTTTATCACTTATTACATAAAAACACATATATTCAGACATTTGTATCCAAGCTAAATCACGTTGTTGAATTTTGCACAAAGCAACTCCAGGAATTATCTGTGCTAGATGTCTCTAATTTTGAAGTGATAGACCAGAGGGAAGGAAGCTGGTCAACACCACCTACTGGGTTACTGTAATCAAATAGTGGGATTTGACTACCACTTTTATGATGAACACATGGCTCCAAAGTGCAGAGCACAGTTAACTCGGTTTAAAAACATTCTAACACTACAGTTATATTTCATTCACACACCCCCCCCCCCCAAGAAATAATAAATATCTAAGAAGCTGAAATTCTTTTATATCAGTAGACATTTTTTGTTAATTCTAATAAAAGTAAAAAACAAATAGGTAACATTTAACTTTTTAAAATTATATTGACTGCACAACAACATGAGCATGTTATTACAGCTGTGTAGCTGATAGAAATAAGTTATGTTTCTTGATTGTAATGCATATCTTCTAATCAAGTTAATTTAAGCTTTTATACTTCTAAAGAACTCTATATACCACTAAAAAAATAATAAAATAAGTGAAAACTCAATCTTAAAAAATATTCACCTTATCATTCCTATAAATTCCCAATTTGGATTTCCCGGATCAATATTCATAAGCTCTTGTTTCTCTGCTTTCTGTTCAGCTTGTCGCATCCTTCTCTCTTCTCTCTGCTTTTTAATTTTATCCACTTCTTTTACTACATTTGATCTTCTCCGAGCTTTTAAAACAATACAAAATAGTCATTCTTTCAAAATCTGTATTGGAACTTTAGCAACCCTGAGAAAAAACTTTAAATGTTGTGGTTGAAAAAATATTCAAGATTAACCAAAATGTGTATCAAACTACAGAAAATATGACCAGAGGGAGGTCTCACTATACCCAGAGATTATGACCTAAGAAAGGTCTTAGTATATACACAAACTATGACCTGAAGAGAGTCTCAGTAAAGTTATCCCATTTTAACAACAAGCAGCCAAAACTTTATCTATAACATACTGAAATAAATCAAACATGATTTTTGTCTTGTAAATAAAAAGTAGATTTCCTTTCAATTTCATTTTTAAAAACACGTCTCTCTTTAATCCAAAATATATACAAGTTCACCTGTTTTTCGGTGTTAAAGCTGTACAACAACCTCTATCATTAAATTATGAACGTGAAAGGAAGTTGTTGTAATAAAGCATGATCTCTGATAACTACCAGCTTCTAAGCACATTTTTCAACCAACAGAAAGTGCTATGTTAAAAAAAAAATGTTGAAATATTTCTCAAAACCATCTGAATAGACTTTACCTGAGGGGTCTTCATTATATGGCATGTCTCCTTTCTTCACAGGAACCGTCAGGGAACCTGGCCTTCTGTCCCGCAACCCTAATTTTGCACCAGCCCGTGTGACTGCATTGCGTTGTTGTGCCATTTGACCTATAACGGTGAAAAAAATCATTAAACCTAACAGAGCTGAACAACTAGCAAACATTCCAAGAATTCTAATCAATAACAGTGTGATTCAGCCCCAATCTACTTTCTGATGTTAATCATTTAACTTATGAAGGTAAGCATCAGAGAAAATTTTGTGCTTGAAACTTGTGTTTCTTTACAACTATATAAATTATTTACTATAATTAAACACATATCTTAGGATTTAAGATACTTCCAAGTAGATAACTTCCCGTACCCCCCCCCCCCAAAAAAACTCACTGATGCTTCCGATTTCATAAAAGCTTTTCCCTCTCCTACAAAATACAAAACTGCTTGATAAAATAAATAATTTTTATTTCAGAATTTATAACTAACTTTCCTAAATGGCATAGTCTAACTTTTATTGGAACTTGATGACACGTTAACAAAACTGTAAACAATTTTTCCAATATTATAATTTATTAAAAAGAAAAAGAGTATATATATACACATATACATACATACATTTGTGTATGTCTACTGAGAATCAGCGATGTATAGGATCAATACCTATTTCTTTGTTTAAAATTCTCAGATTAAAATATCAGATATTACATTAACATATCATAACACTATTCATCTAAGGAATAGACAGCCCAAAATATTCTTTATCATCCTTGTTTATCCCATATCACAGCTCTGAAGAAGACTAACAAATCATACAGTGGTATGTCACATATACACTTTCTACCAAACTCAAATCAAATAACCTTTCATAACTTCATGGATCTGAAAATGAACAATTATTTGTGTAAACAGTATAAAAATCCCTACTTACAAGATGCATTAGTCACAACTGTGTTAGCCTTCTGAGTTGGTTGGAGGGGTCCTGAAACAGGTGCAGCAGGAGGGGCCATTACAGTACTGTTAGCAGGAGCTGGTGTTGAAAAACTGTTCTCAGAGTGTCCATTCTGCAAACGTGCCTGAGCATAACTTTGGCGGGTTCGAACTGATCCTAAATATATATTTACATTAAAGAGTTGAGAACACAGATAGAAACCACAATTTGTACACACAACTAACCAGAAGGACCACAACAAAGGTTTATTGAAACTTTATAGGAACAGTATATCTACAGAGAAGACCATGACAAAAATTTTACTGAAACCTTACACAAACAATATATACACAGGGAAGATCACACGGACCACAAAAAGAGATTTACTAAAACATTATAGGAATAATACATGCACAGAATGGATTACATGGACAGCAATAAAAGTTTTTACTGAAACCTTACACAAACAATATGTACACAGGGAAGATCACACGGACCACAAAAAGAGATTTACTAAAACATTATAGGAACAATACATGCACAGAATGGATTGCATGGACAGCAATAAAAGTTTTTACTGAAACTTTACACAAGCAATATATACACAGGGAAGATCACACGGACCACAAAAAGAGATTTACTAAAACATTATAGGAACAATACATGCACAGAATGGATTACATGGACA